CCTAAAATTCATTTTTGTTTCTTTTGTGCCTTATTTGGATAAATTGTTGAATTTTAGGAATAATTAGTTCTAGGATGTTGTAGGCTTTTAGTGGGTCTCCTCACTTTCTTTCTCTCTCTGTTTCTCTCTTTCTCTCTCATGCACAACAGATTGTTTTTAATCTTTAGTGGGAAATTAAAGTAGTCAAGCGGGAGCTATAACTTTTGAGAAGGACACTCATTAGAAGCTATAAAAATACTATTTCTGTTTAGACTGGAAACACAGTTATTCGTTGTATTTGTTAAGTTGATGGCTAAGCTCCATAACAAATAGAACCCCAAATGCCATAGCTTAAATAAGAAAGAATTTTATTTTTCTCATATAATTTGTTATGTATGAACTCATTCAGAGACTCATGTTTTTCTATCCTTTTTCTCTAGTCTCCCTAAGATTATTGTTCTCTTTTACACAGTCAATGGTACATCACTAGTTATTATCTTATCTGCATTCTAGTCTGATGGGAAGGAGGAAAGAGAAGTCACAGCAATATATTTCTTTTTGATAATGTGTAATTTGTATATTTGTATATCTTAGTTCCACACAAATTCTTATGGCAAGAACTTAGTCACATGACCATGCCTAGCTGCAAAGGAGACTGGGAAATATAGTCTCTAGTTGGGCAACTATGAGCCCAGCTCAAATTCGTTTTTGTGGTGGTAAGAAGTGAATAGATTTTGGATGTAACTATCAGTCTACCATACCCTTTATACCATATGGACTTAATAGATCAATTAAAAGAACCAAATATAACACAGTATATCTAGAATTTTGTCATTTTTGTTTCTGATTTGCCATCATTGTTATGGGAGAAGATTAGGGAATTCCTGGACTTTGTGCTTGGTTTTCTCTCTGTGAAAATGTATCTTATAATGGCTGCTATTCTCTCACTAATGAAAAATAAAGGGGTATTTGTATTTGTGGAATAGGTCAGTGTTAAAAGTTATAAGTTTTAAGTGAAAAAAGCTGATAGCTTATTGGTCTAGTTAGATAAGTATATTACCAGATTTTCCTGCAGTCAGCCTGAGTGGATCAATAATGAAGTTGATTCAGCATAATAGAGAGCAGGTCATGAATGTTAGGACCCCTATACAAGAGGTCACAGTAACCCTGTCTGGGAGGTTAAAAGCCTCCCACTGGAAAGTATCCATAGGAACAGTTGGAGATTACACATTTATGGATGCTTTCTTAATTTGTATCTTCCTTTTCTTTGTCCTGTTGTCTCCTGCCAGTAGACTATTGTGAAGCCATGTCCCTAGTGGCCAAGATGCCCTCCAGGGCATCTGTTACCGCTGAAGCGTCAATAAATCACTAGGGCTTCTTGATGAAGATGAAGGGCTGAACACAAACATTTGCCTTCTCTCTCTCTCTCTCTTAAATTCCCATTGAAACAAGGGTACCACGACAACAATAATAAAACCTAACATGACATAAATCATTAAAGAGGAGATAATAGTTCTACATTTTTGGAAGCTGAATCCTAAAATTAGAAGTGATGTGATTTATATGAGAGAGGCCTCCTTTAGAGATAAATACATACACACTCACTTCTATGCATGCACACATAGGCACAGGTACTCCAAAGGTTCAGGAAATGCTAATATCAAGTATTTCTGAAGTAGAGGTGAAAGCAGAGCTAAAAATAGAAGCATGGTTCAATGTCCGTTTAAGGTTTAAGAATAGTTAAATCCCACCATCCCTTCCTCAATTCTATATAGCCAAGTGAATCTCCCTTCTACCTTGGAAGAAACATAAATGTTTACTTTTTGGAGAAGGTAAAACTTAGGGTCTCTAGACTGGGGAGAAAAGGGAGAGTCATACTAACATTGAAACAATGGAATTTAGAGGATGTTTTGCCATGTTGAGACCCCTCCTATTCCTCTTTCCCTACCTGGCCTCCAGAATGCTGTCAACCAATCCTGTACGCTACATGCATATAAGATCCTTCTATGGGGAATCCACTGACATCTAGAGCTATCCAATGAAATGGCCCAAGCAGACCATATTACAGTGAAGCTCACAGTCAGTCAACTCTCTCATCAATTTCCATATGACCTGATAATAAAGAATCACCTAGTATCTCAGGAAAGTTAATGATCAATGAACAATAAATCTTGGAAGAAGTTTATGCAAGGCATGGAGAGGAAGACTTGAAAAAATTCTGTCATAAATGCCTTCAGAGAGGCAGAACCCCTGATAGACCCGCTTTAGCTGCACTTCTCAGTGTTTAATGAAGAGTCCTCAGACCCGACCTCGAGGCACACCTGTGGCCCATGAGACCTTTGTAGACCACATTCCACATTCCAGTTCCAGATCTGGAATTCCCTGCACAATCCGCCCCAATCCCATTTCCCAGGTTCGCAGGTCTCTTTCCTACCTTGGTCCTCCTAAAGGCCTTCCAACACAATTATGTGTCTACCCCTATGCAGAGAGGTA